AATTTTTCACCTTTTGAAATTTAAATCAACCTTTAAATCACTTTAATTTACTCCATTAAATCATATTTTTTTACAAATACAATAATGACTATAAGAATTATTTGGGATGATAATGAAATTAACTTATTAGTCGATGAAAGAAGAAGGAGAAATGTAGAGTACCATATAAGATACAGAGACAATAAGACGGAGTTCTGAAAAAGTGTAGCTTGACGAATCAATCGAAGATTTAGTACGGTATATTCAACTCGCCAATGCAAATTGAAATGAAGAAATTTAGTACGGGATTACAACGTAAGTAAATAAATGAATAACAATATAATGATAAATATAACTTAACAGTATAGTAAATATCTTTTAGGATTTTTGCAATTATCGAAATGAAGCAAGAAGAGGTGGGAGGTAGACCTATACTATAAAAAGATTATACAACCTCTTCAGGACTCGATTCTAGGATAGGCCAGATAATAATTAAAAACGTTTAAATAATTTTTTAGATTTATATTAAATATATTTACTTTTTTAGAATCGAGGCATACTCGTAGGAGAAATTGTAATTTGCCTATTACGAAGCAAATACGAAACACAAGGCAAAGGCCTACAAGGCAATATAAATTTCAGTTTTTTTTCTTATCATTCATTTAATTTCGTGTTTTTTCATATCGTTCATTTTTTCTTTTCGTATCGTACGTTTAATTTCATTTTTTCTTTTTCATTTTTTCATTTCGTTTCATTTTATTGTTTCATTTCATTTCTTAATTTTGTTTTTTCATTTCATTTCGTTTTTCTAATTTCGTTTTATAGTTTCTTTTTATTTGTTTAATTTCATTTTTTTCATTTCATTTCATTTTTCTAATTTCGTTTTATAATTTCTTTTCATTTATTTAATTTCATTTTTTCGTCTCGTCTCGTTCACTTAATTTTCTCTTCTTTTCATTTTTATTTTTTATTTTATTTTTATTTATTTTAAAAAAATAAATTTTTTTAAAAAAAAATTTAAGTAAATTAATAAAACTGTTGTTCAACGATTAATAACATGAAAATATTTCTGGAAATAGTAAAATTATATTTGTGTAATGAAATCAGTAATCATCTACTATAATGAATAATTCGTTAATACTATAATGAATTATTCGTTATACATACCGCATAATTTGTTATAGCGTTAATAAAGATTCTTATAACGAAGTCCTGATCGGCTGGATCAGTAACTTCATTATATTGAGGTGTGACTGTATCTTCAGGATTATATTCTTTTAATATTTACCAGAGATTCTCTCTCATTATTTTGAAACCTTTAAGCAACGCACTTACGACTTCCCTATATATATGATACTTTTTATTTTTTAAAGTTATCCACCTAATCACTAGACTCTTTAAACTTATCCTTCTTTAATAAAAAAGCAAAACTTAAGGCTTTTATTGAAAGAATATTGTCAGTAATAATAAGATTAACTTTGAGTGCATTATCTACCCATATTACTAACGCTTCTTTAATAAGAGAGAATAGAGTTTTTTTTATTACGTTTTAAATTAGCTTAGTATAAATTGGTATTCAAAGAAAACCAACAGTCTTTCTTCTTTAAAATGTTACTTACTATGCCTTTACTAACATTATATTCATTAGCCAAGTCTTTTTGTTTTAAAAAAAGTGATGATATTTTTTTCAAATAAAGTTCTTTTTTTTGTGCAGCTGTAAGAGACTTGTTTTTTTTAAAGGTTTTATTTTATTTGTTAGTAGGTTGATTAAGTTGTTTCTTTAAGTTTACTTTTGGCATTATTGGCATTATATAAAAAAAAATGTGTAAAAAATAAAATATGTAAAAAAATATAAAATACAAGACACAACGCGTAATATAAATATTTATTAATTTTTTAATTTTATTTAAAAACTAGGTACAGAGAAATACAAAATTTTATATACATAAATCTAGTAAAATTCATTTTAAGTAAAACTTCATTGTATTAAAAAAAAATCTATTATAGAGAAAATTCACTATAAAAAAGTTATTTTATATATAAATTTTTTTGATTTTAATTCGTTAAATGTAATACAAATTTTTAATTACTAAATTTGATATAATAAGGGCTATTTTATATTTAAAAATCTGTCTAATACTGAAAATCCATTGTATTGTAAAATTCGTTATATCAAAATTGTTGTAAAAAGAGTTAACTATATTACTAGTATCAATGTAAGGTTGTTATCAAAAAATAAATTATTTATTGATGATAAAGATATTATTAAAGAAAACTTAGAATTTATTTATAAAAATAAAGAAAAAATTATACCTAAATTATACAGAATCTTTAGTACTTTTTTTTACAAATGAGGATAACTATATCAATTTCTGAAAAAATAGCTAGAATATGATTAAAAAACTTGAACTTATTCTACAATCTTGAAAAAATGCATTTACTTTGATAAGTATGAGCATTTAAATGTATTATAATATAGAACTATATTTCTTAAAAAATGAAATTTGAACAATTAATGCCAATATTTGAAGAGAATAATATAGATCAAAAGAATTCAGTTTTATCTGAAAAAAAAAAGCTTTATATTTTTGTAACTCATGATGAATGTCTTTTTTATGCTAATGATAACTGTCCTATAATTTGAATAAACTACCTCTTTGTAAAAAAAAGGTAAGAAAAGTCAATAATAGTCGGTGAATTTCTTTTGAAAATAATTAATTATCTTAGATTAATAAATAAGTAAGCTCAAATATATTCTGAAATTTTAAAAGAAGCTTGAAAATTTTTATATTTAGATAAGAATGAAAAGGGATAGTGAATAGTAAAACATCTATTTAAACAAGTAAAAGATTTTACTATTTCAATTTTTAAAATAGAAAATCCAAATTCAATTGTTGTTTTTACTTTTGATAATAGTACTAATCATGAAGTATAGCAGATAATGCTTTATGTACATAATATATGAATTTTAATCCAAATGGATGATAGCCAATAATATATTATATTTAGATCAGATAATTAATGGTTTTTCCTTCAGATTATTCAAAATATCCAAATTAATTTAAAGATATTAAATAAGTATTAATTAAAAGTAGATTAAGAAATGATGGTTAAATCTTGAATATTAATTATGTAAAGAAAAAATAAATTAATTAATCCAATAAGAATTAATTGCTGTGCATATAAATTATGACTTAACAATTAGATTTTCTTGCACAAAAATCAGAATTAAAAATAATAATTGAAAAAGCTAAACATAAATGTATTTTTTATCTTAAATTTTATTAAAATGTATTAGGATCAGCAAAAAGATATATTATGAGCATTGTGATTATATATAAAATAAATTATAAAAAATTATTTTAGAAGCATTAAATTTTATTTTATTAATTGAAATAAGGCATTTTGCAAAAATTATAGGGATATATAAATATATATAAAAAGAGTATTACAAGAAAACTTGTTGTATTTGAAAAAAAAATATAAATCACATAGAAGAGTTTCTGATGATATACTTAATCAAATTATTTTAGAAAATAAATAATAAATAATAAATTTGTTTAGAAAATTAAACAAAATTTTAGGTAACATTATATATTATATTAGCCAATCAAATTTGCTTTAGGTCATGTAATTTTATATTATATTAGCAGAAAAATTGATAAAATTTTTTTATTTGCTTAATTAATTTGCCTTTATAAAAGTTATCTAATAATAAAAATTTTATAAAATTCTTTATAAAATATTTTGAAATCTATTATAGAAGTACTGCACTGTATATCTTATATTCTATATTCTAAATCTTAAATTTCATTTAATTAATAATATATTTTTAAAATATAGATAACAAGTATAAGCTTATTATTCTTAAAATACTATAGAATAAGCATAAAATTCTTATATAAGGATATTTTGTATTAAATTTATGATCTTTATAATGATATAAATAATGCAATTAAATAGAAAATATTAAAATAATTAGAATTTTATTTATAGTTAGATGAAAAAATTTTAAAGGATTTATCTAATATGCTTTATTTCTAAAAAAATTTTTAGATTTCTTAATAATTTTAATTAATGTTGCATGCTATAATAGGTATAACAGAGTTGAAAAGTTATAACATTTTATTGTAAAATTGTAACTTTTTGTCATAATTTTCTAACTGGTTGTAATTAATATAATATTCGTAATTAGTGTAATATTCAAAATATAATTCATGTGAAGATTAAGTGTAAATATCTAATATACAATTATCAGCAGTGGATTTGCTCTTTTTAAAACTTTAATTTTATAACATTAACATATTTTTTGCTTTCTTTTTGCTAAACTTGAGGTAAATTCAAGAGGAATTTTTTCTGTAATAGTTTAGTTTAAGAATGTTACTAATATAAATTTACTTTATTTTTTTGCAGATAATTTTTTTAAATAGTCTGTAGGTATACTGTACTATATTATGGAAAATATTTTCAGATCTATTCTTATTTAAATATAAATTAGATATTAAGATTTTAATGTAATTAATTGAATTTATAATAAAAAATCATTTTAATTTATAAAATTTAATATTATTATTCAACAATATGAAATTTTATAAATGATTGTATAAATGCAAAAATTTCATTTACATAAAGTATTAAAATTGCATTCTTTTTAGTCTACTCATAATAATTTCATTCACGTCATATTTATCATTTTCATCATCAAATTCACTTTCATAAAATTTCTCTATTTCTTCATTATTAAAATAAATCTCATTAGAATGAAAAATTGGAGATTGAAGATCAATTATATTTGAAATATTTAAATTTATGGCTAATTCATTTATATAAAGATATTCAGCTGAATTTAGCAATTCTGCATTTTTTAATTCTTCTAAAGAGACTTGTTCTTCAAGCTTGTTAAAAACTGTTTCTGTAATATTTATCATCATTTCTGAAGACATTTCTGTTTGAGTTCAATAAAGTTATTTTGCAGTATTTGATAAATTAAACTAATAAATTTTTGCTAACCCTTCTAATTTTCCATTCCTAATTGAGTTTGCCATTTTCTATAGATTCATCCTAAAGATAAAAATATTCGTTCATATGCTGCAGAACTTAGTGTAATAGAAAAAAGTTTAATTACTAAGAGCATTGACATATATTAGCTAATATTATAGGGAGTGAGGGTAGTAAGGAATCTTAGATTACACATAAACTTATAAATCACGTGATAAATGTAATATCTTATTTTATTAATACTATATATCAATATCAATACAAATATAGTTAGACCTTATCAATAAAGTGTTTTAATCAATACAAATATAATTACACAACCTAATCTTATTTATGATCTGATATGCATTCCCTCAAATGCATTTCTTCAAAAAGCAGTATTTTATCTTGTTGTTGTGATAGGAGAACAGAGAAGTTGTTAAGAGTTGAGGAGTTTTGATTTTTCCTTTTCTTTTAGACTATTTACAGCTAACAGGATATACTGTCTATTTGTGGTTTATCAAAAAAGTAAGCATTATAAAATATTTATTATATTCAGAATAACAAAAACACAAATATGTTGTTTTATTTAGAGATGGATAATAGGAATCGTAGCTAGAAATTTTCAAGAGATCATAATATTTGAGAAGATGTATTAGATTGGTAAAGTATTTGTCTTTAGCTTTGGTAATAGAAGGTAAGAAGCCATTGTTTGATTGAAGGAATTCCATGGTTTCTTTTGCACAAGGTGGACTATAATAGCTTGTATTCACACATCATTTAATATTAAGCGAATACTGACATAGATTACAATAATTTTTAATCCATGACTATGGTACAAAGCAATTAGCTAAGCTTATTTCTTTTTCTTTTTGTTGTTTCTTTTTTTGTTTTTCTTGTCATTTTCGTTCTTCAATTTTTCTTTTTCTGTATCCTCAAATTATAGGTTTTAAAATGGATTGATAAATTCTTTAACATACTGAGCATCTATGCTTTTTTTCAAAAATCAAATCACGACGCTAAATGTCATAAAGAGTATCTTTGGCGTATTGATAATTTCAAAGAGCTAACTCTAAATCTATCACTTTACCTTGCATATTTAAATGTATTCTAAAGTGATTAATTAGTAATACGATACCTGCTAGCTTACCAAATAGCATCATCATACCCTTTTAACCAGATTATATTTAGATTACCCTGGAGTATGTATTTATACAGTCAGGTAATCCAAATTAAATTTTTAAAAAAGATAACAATATGTTTAATATTTTTTAAATGTCTCAGATTTTCATCTGGTCCTTCATCTACTAATAAAACCTAGATTAGTCGAATTTCTCCGTCAGTATTTAACACATCATCATATTGGATATTTAAAGAAAAATTTTTGAGATCTTACATATGTGTGAAAGAGGATATACCAAGAGACTATTGACGTTATATAAAAATGGCAAGTTAGACTGTTCGTAGTTTATCATTTAAATCATTCAGTTTGATTATAAGTACAGGAAAATTATGATCAATCATACGAACAGACTTGCAATGTTTGAAAAGTCTGACCTATAGCAGGTACCCTAAGACTTATCTTTGTCTTATCATCTTGGAAGATAATAACTGACATATTGGCAAAGACAGTTACAAATTGCCTTGCATATTTTACAGAGGTAAGGCGATAATGACCATCAGAATAATTGTGTGTCTCTGTTCGTAAAACTTCAGCTACTGCGATCTATGCTGAATGATGATGAGCTCTTGTAGCAATGGAATTAGATTGGCATGACAACAGATAATTATTTAATATTATTTGTATCATATAGACATTATATTTCTCCTCAAGATTTTTACGCAAATTTTTGATGACCCAAACTTTTACCACTTCTCTTTATCGTTTCTCATTAGCTAAACTGAACTTGACCAAATTGTGAATATACTCGTGTAATTCTGAATATTTGAAAAGAAGGGATGAATAATCAGATTTATCATATTGTATAACCTCCTGTCTTTCGACAAGTATTTTCAGTTTTTTTTTTCTTTGCAATTTTGAATATATTGTGCATTTTTTTTAATTTAAGAATCCTATTCTGATTTGATTTAATTTGAGCTTGGAAGTCTACTATTTTCTCATATGTATCATGATGAAGTTGAGGATCAGTTGTGATATTGTAAATTTGTTCAGATTCAATAAGTTTTTTTTCAGCTACTACTATTTCACTTATTACCTATTTTTGAGTTATTGCATTAATAGAGATTTCTGGTATAGGTTTTACTGAATGAATAGTAGAAAGAGGAGGTATTGATTCTTCTTTAAGCATAGGAGGATATCTTGGTCTCATTGTTTGTATATCATATAGATTGAATTGAGTGGTCAAGTATTTTCTAATTATATCATCAATTTCTGCTGCACTTTTGCTTTTAATTTTATTTCATTCTTGTGATGCTTTATGGCAAATATCAGTATGATTTGAAGTGCTATTTCTTGTCTTTACCATAAGACTATATACATAAGCATTGGAAAACTTCTGATATTTATTTGTTAGCGATTTATATATTGGCTTTTTATTAAAACTAGGACTAAATAAAAAGATTTGTCGACTCATACTTAAAATATTCAATGAAAAGTTTTTGTAGACACAAAATAGAAAACTGAATACAACATGTAAAATCCTCACAGCAAGTCAGTTTTTAAAAAAATACGCGAAATAAGACTCAATTCAATTTAGAATTATTAAGTAGATCTCTATTATTTAAATTAGTATTAATTAATTAAGCTAATTCAAGTAAAATCACATAAAATAAAATTTTTTGTAGCATTCCGCAGCATCTTGTAACATTCTATAGCATATGGATCTTATTATCTGATTGAAGCTTTTTTTATATTTAAAGAAACTAATACTTTAAATTTTATGAAAATACGTTGTTGAATGTTTTTAATTTTTATTTAGAATAAAAAAAAATTTAATTTAAATTTTACGAATTGAAATTTTATTTTTTTATCATTTGTGTTTTTTGATTAACTTTTAACTTATGAATCTAAAAAAAGCAAACGATTAGAAGCATATGATCATCTTATCTGAGGGTAGGGGGTAAACGTTTATACTAAAATTATATTAACTAATATATGTCAACATCCTAATTATTGTAGATGATTTAGCTTAACTTCACACGTGTTCTACTACATTAATGGTATATTATCAAGCTATATAAAGGTTTGACCTTTCATTTATAATACGTTTTTTCTCTTTATAAAGGTGCAATTGAGTTATTAAAGTTTTACAACTTTTTTTGATTTACCTACTTTTTGTCATAATTGTTCAGTAGCATAATATGCAATTGTTGGAAATACGTTAAATTTTAATTCAGCTCCCTTATATGCTAGATGAAGAAAAATGCAAGTTGGTAAATAGGATCATTAAAATCTTCAAATTTACAATCAAAATTTTTAACATAATAGTTACGAAATCCCTTATATTCATCAGTAGAAAGGTTTTGAATTACTGCAGCAATTTTCATAAGATTTGTATATATATTTGCAAGAGTAGAGTTAGTTGATTTAACTGCTAAAATTGCATTCTTTATTGAAAATAAAACTTCTAAAAGATGCTGTATATTACTAAAAAACCCTCAACTATGAAGAATTATTAGAATGGTTGGAGTTATAATAACTTCAAAATAGTTATCTCAAAGTATATTGAATAATATCTTTACTAATCAAATTATAACAGTGAGCAATATATCTAATATTGATAATATTTTTATATTTTTAAGAAATTATATTTCTTGCAGATGTTACATTAGCTCATTATCACACATAATTGCTAAAATTTTTTTTGCTACCAATGCGATTTATCACTAATTCAATTTAATTAACTAAAAATTTAGCAGTATGTGATTGGCTAGAGTAATCTCCAAATTTATAAAGGTATTCTTATTGAGATAGAGTTAAAAGAATAAAATTTCAAATAGATGATCCATTAGAAGCTGTCTAATCATTAAGACTAATAGTAATATTACTAATAAATTCTACAATTTTATTAACTTTATTATCTAAAAGTCACCTAAAAAGAATTTCACGTGATAGAGCATTATAATGTGAATTAAGCATTATTAGTGCATTTACAAAAAAAGGATTGCTAATTATATAAAAGAGAATTTTATACATAATAAATGCTAATATAATAGCTTTATCAATCATTAATGCATCTATATTCATGATTGTTGACTCAGATTGATTAACCACTATTTTTTCTGCTTTTTTTCATTTTTGGTTAACATTTGATTAATTAAGAGGTACTTCTGTTAAAATATCATTCAGGTTATTAACTAAAATATAGTTAAAATAATGATGCTACTCAGAAATATTTTTACAATTATTAGCAAGATGTGTACGTAATAAATTTAGTTTAGCATGTGAATAGAATTTTTCACAGTTCCTTCCAATGATATCACCTTTGGACTTGCATCTATCAAAATAGTTTCAAATACCACTTCGTAAATAGCCTGATTTTGTATGGATATCATTTTCATTTTCCTTTTCAGACTCAGTATTACTTGTGCAGTCATTTTTAAAAAGTAATAAATGTTTTTAATTATAGTTGACAAAGAAAAGTTATTAGTATTACTTCTAAGAGATGCATAAATAATAATTAAATAAAATATGTAAATTTCTATGATTAGCAATTTATCATTAATAATATTACTTTATTAGTATTAATAATATTTCTCATATAACATATACAATATAAGAAAAATACATGTGTTTTATGATATTTTTTAAAATTCATATACGAGTAAAAATTAAAAATTTAGACTTTTAACATTCTATAAAAAAAATATCATTTATATATTCATATTTCTTAATTTGAAAACCTAATTTTCTAAATTTATATAAGCATTTATATTTCTATTATAATTTTTATGTAAAAATCAAGGATTTATTCAATCAGTAGTAATATGTTAAATAATCTAAATATAAATATAATACTCAAAAATTGAAAAACTCTTGACTATAATTTTTGATTAAAAATGATAACTTTTGTATGATTTGCATAAGATCTTCAGATTAATTTATATTTTAAACTAGTAATTTAAAGTTAATTAATTAATTATAATTTATAACATAATTACGTATTATAACTTTAATACAGCATATCGTAATTTTAGAATTGTTAGTTGAAATTAGAGTTGTAACCTAAATTGTAATTCAAAATGCCATAACTATTATTTACAGTCAACAACTTTAATTTTAATAGATTAAATTAACTGAATCAAAAAGTAATGTCTTATAATTTTACAAAATTGTAAAGTGAATTATATAAGAATGTTTTTTTGCTAAATAAAAACTAATGTATTATTTATAATATTATTATGTTTTCTATTAATATACATATACTTATTTCTTTATTAATAATCCTGGTAGTTTTGATAAGATTTTTTATATGATACCTTATTGGCTACTATTAGATTACATGAAATAATACCTTAACTATAGCTTAATTAATTTATTATTTTTAGTATAAAAAATAGTATATATTTATCTTGGTTTATCAGCCTTTATTAACTTTGTTTATTTATACTTAATTAAGAATTGTAAGAATATGAATTATATGATTAGTAAAGTCATTTTAACTTTTAAAAATATTAATGTTAAAAAGATTTTTGAGTTGATATTAGATTAATTATCTGATAGTTTATTTTAATATTGACTTTGTGAATTTATCTGAAAATAGTAATATATCACAATTTCAGATATATTTACTTGAATTTTTTAAGATCTTTAAAAATTTTAAATCTTCTTTTTAGTAAATTAAAATTAAAGGTAAGAGCTCTAATTATACTATTAAAAAATTTGATTTCATCTTAAGGTCTATATAATAAAATTAAGCTGATTTGTCATACTTTTCAAAATAAAGTAATTGAAGTTAAAATTATCACTGCTCTTATGTTAGAAATTGTGTTTTTATTTCTTAAATAACATTAAATCCTTCTAATAGTAATTTATCTTTTATTTTAAATTAGCAATAGCTTCTAGTCTGTATATTTTTTATGATTATTAACAAATTTCAGAATTAAACTTTAAATTATGTTTGATGATTGTAAAATTCCTGAAACTGTTAGATAAGAAATATATTATTATAATATAATCTTTTACACTCTTTACGAAAAATTTAATAAAATATTTTATTATATAAAGAAGAAATCTATGTATGCATTTATAATAAGTTAAAAAATTGATTTTTTCTTTAATAAAGTAAGTAAAAAATAAATTATTCACAATTTACTTTTTTGTATTGATTTTATTAATAATAAAGAAAAATAATATGAATCTAAAAGAAAATAAATACACTTATTTAGCTATTAGTATTATTGTAAATTTAGCCTTAACTTTTACTTATAAAAAAATAAATAATATAATTTTTAAGATTTTAGTAATATGTATCAGTAACAATTTTTTTTTGATTTTAACTATTATTATCACATGTATTATTTCAATTATTATTTATTTGCATTACTTATTATCTGATTAGATAATTAATAAAATATAAAATATAATTAATTTTAAAAAAAAAAATTTTATATGTAAATTTTTTTTAAAATTTTAATTATAAAAGTTCTTTTATATTTATATTAATAAATAAATAAATATAAATAAATTAAATAAATTTATAATAAAATAAAAATTATTTTCATTTTAATAGTTTAAAAAATATTTATTTTTTAAAATTTTTAAATGATATTTACTAATTTATTTAATAAAATAATATTAATAATTAAAAATTTTACAAATTCAAAATTAATATTTAATTTATAAGATAGAAATAATTTAAATAAAAAAATAGAAAAATTAATATAAATGGTTAAAATTTTACTTTGGATTTATATATAATACTTCTTAAAAAGTTGTTGTTTTATTCAATTTATAAAACATAAATAAATTATTTTACGAAAAAATAATATATAATATTATTTATTTATTTATAATACTTATATTTAATTACCTTTTAAATTAATTTAAATTGAGATCTAAAAATATATGACTTTAGTTAAATATTCATTAATAATGAGTATATTTAAATAAATAAATTTGTAATAAGAATTTTTGGCAATTCTTTTATTTTTAAATGTTATCTTAGTGTTAGCAATTTAAATAATGATTTTAACTTCAAATATTAATCTAATGATATGAATAGAATTTAAATTGGAATATTGGATTTTAGTAATGATTTTTAAACAAATTTATAGCTAAAGTATTCATTAGAGTAAAATTAAATAAAATCATATAAATTGTTTTAATTTAGAAAATTACAAGAGAAATTTCAAATTAAATGCGCAACTTGATGATAATATTTTGAGCGATAATATAAACAAAAAATTAGATTAAAGATATTTATAATTTAAATGATCTGGTAAATTTCGTTTAATTTTATGTAATCGGATATTTATTCAGAAAACTTGTTTTTGACAATGGGAGGTTTGCTATTAAAATCGAGTTACGAACATAGTAAATCATATGATCCGTAACGTGATTTTAATAGCAAACCTCCCATATTAGTAAATATAAAGAAAATAAAAAATAAGAAAAATAACTAAAAGCATTACACATAAAATAGTAGTAAAAAAAGAATAAATGAAATTCAGAAAATATGAATTCAAACTATTAAGAAAAAAAAAAAAAATCCCCTAGCACCCCTAATAATAATAATAATAATAATCTTTGCCAGCATATCAGTTTGATTGAAGACCAAAGATCGCAACCTTAACAGGTCGAGGTGATGAACATCCTATCGTGATGGTGAGCTAGGAGAGGGGAGTTGGAAACGTTATTTTAACATTATAAAATGCTTCTAACATGGCTCTAAATTTAAGAAATGTGCATAAAATGATATAATAAATATAACGATTACATGAAAAATTCTCAATAACCCACTGAAAAAATGATAACAATGTGTAAATTTAGGTGTACCTGAATTACTATCGTCAAGTTCTTCCGTAAAAGCAACGCCACGGGATCCAAGATGGATTAAAGATGGGTCTTCCGTTTTGTCATCATCGGTATACTAATTTTGTTTGACAAAGTATTATATGAGAGATTAGTTTGACATAAAATGATTGATCAGGGATAATAATAGCTTACCTTAGTTTAATTTTCTTATTGGCAGGATTTTCATTTTCTTTATCACTAATTTTTAATATGTAATAGAAAATCAAGTTAATGAAAGATCATTAAGCAATAATTAGTAATATAACAAACGTAAATTTTTTGATATAAGGAAAATAACCAATTCCATCTCCAGAATTAGTGACCTTAATCAAAGAAATTTCATTAGGTGTCACGTCCTTTGTGGACCAGAACGACCACATAGTACTACGGGTATCACTAGGTGACCTCACAAAGGTAATCTTCGTGGACCAGAACGACCACATGTGAACGAACGGTATCACTAGGTGACCTCACAAAGAAAATCTCGTGGTCCAAAACGAACACATGGAACGAACGGAATCACTAGGTGACCTCACAAAGAAAATCCAAACGACCACATGGAACGAAACGGGTATCACTAGGTGACCTCACAAAGAAAATCTTCGTGGACCAAAACGACCACATGGAAAGAACGGAATCACTAGGTGACCTCACAAAGAAAATCCAAACGAACACATGGAACGAAACGGGTATCACTAGGTGACCTCACAAAGAAAATCATCGTGGACCAAAACGACCACATGGAACGAACGGAATCACTAGGAAAACTTCATGTTCCAGACGACTACATGATACGAACGGAAATCTCCCTTGCAATATTGTTTTATTGAAATTACACCTTTTCACTGCAATCAAACAAAGTTGTTTGGGCGAACTCACAAAGGAATCCTAAAGGAAATGGGTTTGTCTACTATTTACCTGAATCAGCTTCTCGCGATGTGTCGCTTCAGTTCGTTCCTTTTTAAATTTACCCTGTTCTGTCTTAAGGTTAATAGCCTATACCCAAGGTACATTTTAAGGAAGCCCATATTTTAAATAATTAATTAAATTTTTTTTTTTAATTTTATCCTTTTTGTTCAATATAAGTCTACGCAACGCTGTATTATCTAACAGTATTACCACGAGTAGGATCGACCATTTGAGTAGTGTGTATGAGTTTGTGAAACAACTACAATGTTTATCGTGGGAGTGCTACGGTGTAGAATCGTAAAAAAAAATAAGTTTGTGAAACAACTACACTGTCAAATATAAGCAAGTGAAAAAAATTCTCACGCGTTAAATTACCTTTTATTGCAAAGCTCGCAGAACTCGTGTCAGTGCTTATAAACTCTGGCGAAATCCGGAATTTTAAAATCCCTGATAAAAAGTTTGTAACGGATTTTTTTCCGGCAAATCGACATATATTGTTTAAAAATAAAATTTTTTATTCATAAATTCTTATATATTAACATGAATTGTTTGGTGTATATCATACACTTATTTTTACGTCATACACTACGCAAAACACCCCCGTGATCAGCATGACAGACATTGTATGATTGGTCAATTTTTATGTCGATCATTTTCTAATTATCATTAAAATAATTGATTTTGATTGGTTCAATTTTATTATTAAAATAATATTAATATCGCATTTTTTTATAAAAATTATTAATTTTTCATAAATATTTCAAGAGCTATTTTAAATTGTTCTATAACTTGAGAATCAAATAATGTTTGCTTGAAAAATCTTCAGGTTCATCATTTTCTATTAATTGAATTTCATCTTCTTAATCAAGTTTAACTTTAAAATTTTCTTCAGTAATTCTAGAAATAATAGATTTTGTATTATTATTAATTAGATTTTTAATATATTTTAAATAATATAAACATTTATACTCAAGATATTTTAAAAAATATGACCACATGGAAGAGAAATAAACTTCATTAAGTTGTAAGAAATAAAATCATTAGATGCTGATTATAATATTTTACAAGAATCTTAAAGATGATACTTTTCTAATAAATTAAATGGTGAATATTCTAAACTAAAAGCCATTGGTAAATGTTGTTCATCTATATTCATATTAAGAGCTACAAGATGACATAAAAGCTTATTTTTTTCATATTAATTAATTTTTATCCATTTGTTTTTTCCAATATTATTATTAATCTTTGTAAATAATTTTAAAAGAAAAATAGATGCTTTATTAGTTAAACCTATTAAATCTTTTTACAATAAAAATATTTTTTTATTGCAATAAATGCATTTTGAAATATATTATCATGACGAAGATAATTGATATTATGAGTTATTTTTAATAATTGTTTATGTGTATCTATTTCTCTTGTTTATTTTCAAATTAATAAATGATAATTTTCTATAGAATAATCATTAAATGCTGTAAAATGTTTTTTTAAAATATCAAGAATAGGATGATTAATACTTTTCTAATACCAAACATCTGAAAGAAAAAATAATAGTACTTTATTATAATTTTTTTGTTTAAATTAAGCAAATAAAACACCATACTCTTATATAAGTTTCAATATATGTTTCCTAATTATCAGATCTAAAAATTGTTGTATAAATATTTAAAATTAAAGGAATAGTATATCTAAGAGGTTTTTTAATGTAAGATATTCTATATCTTTAAAACAAATTGACTCAATTTTTTCTTTAACATATGAAGCAACATTTTTTAAACATCTGAAATTAATTGCAATAAAATATTGATTCTCCAAGAACAAGGTTTATTAGCAAACTTTTTTTTTGTTCTAAAAATATATTTGTATGCAGAATTAAAAAAATCAAAAAATAATAAAATAACAGTTTCCTGATTGTTTAAATATACATGCAAAGGTCTCATAATTGAAATAAAAAACTAATACACTCTAAAATTTCTATTTGATTATTCTTTTTTGATTGTTGTTATCTTTGTTGTATAATAATTGCTTTTCTAGAATATATTTAACCTGGCCAATCAGCAATTAATGGAATAATATTATATTTAAGATAATCATGAAATTTAGGAAAGAATGCAAATATTTTCATAGCATTAATATATGCTTCTATTGAATGCAAATTAAGCTTAATAAAATCAATTAATATAGTATTACTAAGTTATCGATTATTTCATTTTTCATGAATATCTGCATCATAACAATGAACTGTTAGATTGTTAAGTAAATTCTCTTCAGAAAGTGTAAATTATTTAGCAAATTGATTATTAAAAGATTAAGAGAAAAGAGCTATATAATGATTCTCTATCTGAGAAATTAAAGAATTAACATTAACAAGTAATGGATTATGTATATAGTTTCGATTTGCATCTATATTGTATGCAATATTTTTTGGAATTGTACTTGCTGTAAGTATAGGAATAGCAAGAATAGTGATCATATGTGCAATAATACTGATAGTTATTATTATTAGCATTTTTAATTCATGAATATTATGATAATCATCAATGTTTGCAACTATTACATTTGTCTGATATTTTAAGAGTTCTTTTGTAATATTATTTTTATGAATTAAGGATATAACATTCTTCTCATGCTAATTTTCTCTTGATATAAAACTTAATTGCATATTAGATAAAGTATTAATAGCTTGATCAGATATACATAAATAATCCAAAAACATTACAATATCTTTTTTTAGTGCACTAATATGCTTATTCCTAATTCCAGTAAGAAAATAATATAAAAAAGAGAGTCCTTTCTACCTTTGTGAGATAATATGATCTAAAAGGCTTCTACCACTTGAATTGATTAATTTTTCAAGCATGTTAAAAAATGGTATAAGGTCAGTATCTTTTGATTCCATATCCTTCTTGAATAATTTTCAATCATAAATTAGTAATATATTTTCTTTTTTTTCTCTTGTATATAAAATTCACGCTATTAATCTAACACTTTCAATAAAATTATTTTCACAAATTCCACTTACCTCTGATGTTAATTTATCTCTAAGTTTATCAAGATCTATTTTTGAATTATTAGGTTCAATTCCTTCTATTGTTTACCATCATCAGAATCAATTTTTTCCATCATTAGTTCATCTTATATCTGATCAGATTCTCAGCATCATTTTAAGGTAACAGTATTCTTAAAATTCTTAGAATATGTTTTATTTATAATACAGCTCATATAGTGATTATAATAAAATTGAGTACTGTCTAATTGTCAGATAGGATCTGAAGTTTTGTGCTATAAGGCTTTTTATTTAGTTTTCTCTGTAAACCTTCAAACTTTTTTTGTTTCCTTCTACTTCACAAATAATATATGGTTTAGAAAGTTTCTTCCAGTTTGATTTTTCATTATAACTTTTAGAATTGCTAAATGACCTGTTGAAAACTGTGTGATTAATAGGATTAGTTTCGAAAAAGTACTATAATGAACTTTTAGAAATATAATCGAAAATTTTTTAGTGTTACATGAAAAAAAAAAGATAATGAAATATTTACCTTACTTTAAATAATATAAAAAGTTAAATTACATAATTTTATATAACGACCAATCATGCAAATGTCTGGTATGCTCCTGTAATTATAATAATATTTATCACATAGTTCTTAACGCTATAATGCTAGTAATATTAGGGTAAATCCATTTCAGAAATCCAGAATTAATAATTAATTTTATTTTGACATATGATAATTAACCAATTATTATTGCAGATTTATTGACTTTATCATGATAGTTTGTAAAAATTATATAATAACTGGTAAATTGTCAACCATTTTGATTATTTTTGGTCAAAATTATTGTCATATTACTATCACAACTTAGATCAGCTAGCATTAAGATGTAAGCTGGCTAGAAGAAATGTATGTGATCACAAATTTTATCATGCATGTCAAAACTTGAATGATTTTCTCGTTATAATTAAATACACAAAAGCAAAATATGCCCTTAATTGATTGGTTATTAAATCGATTAGTAGTTAATCAAACTAATTCATGAAAATAGATGTTAAACTAACATAATGCATATAAAAAATCAAATTATATTTATTGTTTATAACATAATTCGATTGAGCTAAACAAATTGTAACTAGATATAATGTTACTTTTTTCAATCTGAATAATCTGATCTAGAATTGAATTGACCTATTTAAACTTATGATTAAAACTCGTTTTCACTTCATGATGACATTTATTTTCTCTTTATAGAAAAAATATGGCTTGTAGCTAAACTAATTTAAAGAGAATGAATAAGGTTACAGGCAAAAACCCTAGACAAAAGTCAAACCTTTTTGATAGATTTTACTACTCAGCAACTTCCTTCATTTCTAATTTATTTTATTATTAATGATTATATGACATCTAATAAAAATATTACAGAAGAAGATAATCTTAATGCTAGTAATTTAATGGTTAAGGTATTGTCATTTTTAGACAACATCAACAAATTTAAACACTCTTATATAATTATCCATAATTTATTTAGAAAAATATCAGAACTGTTAATCATAAGAAAAAACTATTGACTAAATTGATTTTAGAAGTATGTCTAAATATGATGTGAGTATACAGTAATACCTTTTTATTGCACTTATTGGTAAATTTACATATTATTATCACTTTTTTTCAGTGAGTTGTTGAGAATCATAATTTCTCAATTGAGTTTCAAAATTTTTAGTAATTAATAATAGAGTAACCTATTTTTGTGTTTTAAAACTGAGGATCATAAAATATTATAAGTATTGATTCTATGTATTTTTTGTGTATTCATTATATTTATTATATTAATTTTATTATGATAAAATAAATGCTTTTCAAATATAATGTTAATTGAACGAACAAAGCCTATTATACTAAGACAATTTGAAACTAAATTTGCCAAAGAAAAATTATATCAATACTTGCTTTCAGTAATACATAATGTTATTTATGAATATTCTTCTGTAAAATTTAATATCATATTCTCAAAATTGGTTAAGATATAATAAATTTATATTAAAGATATCTCTTCTTAATTCTAGTTATTAAACATTTTTATGCTATTGAAAGATATCAAGATATATAAAAAGTAAGCTATTAAAATCACATTACGGATCATATGATTTACTATGTTTGTAATTCGATTTTAATAGTAAACCTCCTATATGGTGTGCGAATTTTATAGAATTTCTGAGTTGAGCAATCAAGAGGAAAATATCATTTAATATTGCGAAATTTTGTAAGTATTTATATCTGCTATATAGTCATCATTAACTAATATAATACAAATAGAACTGAATAACTTCCTTTTGCAACATAAATTTAAGCTCAAAAGAAGAAATAAATGTTAAAAATGAGGATATCTTCGTAAATGACATTCTATATAATATTATCAAAGAGATATTTTAGGATCTAATGTTAAAATTGATTTGGTAAGGGTTCTATATCAGAGTTTTTCAGTAGATATTCAAATTAATTAAATTATGTTCATATTTTAGAAGGACGAATAGTAAAAGTTCGTCAAAAAATAGACGTATAATAATAAAGAAAATGTGAAATGTAAAAGGATTGCAAGGAAAAACCCGTAAGTTTCAACTTTTGCCAAAATGGAATTAGGATTTTACTTTACAACTTTAGTAAAAAGCATTTAATCGATGATGGATTATATCATGAATGTAAATGCTTTGATGTTAGAAGTATTTTATAATGTTAAGATAAGTTATCCATATGAGCTTCTTATTATTATCTTTAGTGCAATATTATTTAACACATTGTTTTTTGTGATTTTAAGGACCAAATTGCTCAAGTTTAAAGATAGTCTTTTATAACTCCTCTCCTAACTCACCATTATGATCGACATATAGCAGTATGTCCATTTTTTCACCTTGATCTGTCAAAGTTGCAAAATTGATATGCTGGCGGGGTATTTCTAAAATCTATTTGGGTAACAGTTTTAATATATTTTTTCTATAAAATGATATTAGCCATTGATTTGCTAATGTTAAAGATTATCTTTTTTCGTAGAAACAATATTTCCATTGGTTGTCACATAATTAATCAATTTTTTGTATGATATTTTGGTATTTAAATTATTAGAAATAAGTATAATTAATAAATAACTAAATTAACTTAAATAAAAATGCATAAATTTATAAAATTATATAATATAACAAAATTATGGTATTAATTGAACTAATTAAACTAATGTAAAAATTATGTACCTGTATGATTGGCGACGATTCTTAAGCAAATGTTAGAATATTGGTATGATATTTTATTTATACAAAAACACAATATTTCCATTATCATTTTATTAACATTATCATACTTTGTTATATCTGTGAATTTTCAACAGGATTTGGGAGAGACGTTCAATGTGAGTATGCCGTTCTTTGATGGTTGACTTTCAAACTATGAGAACGAGCACGATTCCTTATTTTGAACGTTCTTTTAATTATGACTTTTTGACATTGAAATCTGGTTCGTTTATTATTGATCTACTACAGTTTTTTTTTTTTTTGGAAAATATCAAGATAACGTGTCGATGTTATTTATATCCTGAAGATTCATTCAGTATTTTTTTTCATAAAAACTTTTCTCTATTTCATACTTATAAATATGTTTGCAAATTATGAAGGTAATTTGGTACGACTTTGCTTAAAAATTACTCATCGGCCTTGAAGATTGTTTCTATTATCATACGTGAGTAGCTTTTATTTAAGGTGATGCTTGATGTTTCAATAGATACTGTATATTGATGTCATTTTATTTAAGGGAAAAAGTTATAGAAGTAGCGAAAATGAGAATGAAATTGGGTGGGGATTTGGGCATAAAGATATTCCTCGTGCCATGTTGGATGATGCTTGCAAGTTACCGGTTGGAAACGATTATAAGTTAGAAGAAATACGGCGAGCAGTTTCCCTGAAACTTTTCGAATTTAAGAACTGTTATACACCCATGTATTTTTCAATAATTCTTATTTCATTTTATAGAGGATCGCACTGAGTTGTGGCAGAAACATGATCCCCAATTGGATCTAACGTGTTGTTATCTTTAACTGATAATTTTGTTCTGCGATCTTTTTTGATACATAATAAATTATTAAGTAAGATGCGTTGCTATTGACGAAGCCCCATTTAATTTAACATTGATGATTTTATTCATTTTTAAAACATACATGATAAAAAAAAAATAAATATAATAAAGATTTGTCAAAAAATGATGACAAGTATAAAAATTACTATTCGAATAGTATATACAATACATGAACATTATTATTCCTTTTCGTCAGATACATTTTTACTCGTTTTATTTTGATATTTTTCAATTTTCATTTTCTTTGGGTTTAGGTTTTTAATTATTTCCGTTCCTCTAAATTTTTTGTTGGTTTAGTTTTTCGTTAAATAAAAATATATATACACTTTATTGTAAACTTACATTAGATTCGTCTGAGAAAAATTCTTCGATCGTGTGCCCGTTAAATAACACCTTATGATGCGGGTTATATATTTTTTTTCTGACTTGTTGATAATAGGAGTAATTAAAGAACAACTCTTGTCGTGGATATTAGTGCTAGTGCCTTTGGCAATAGTTGAAGAAATAGTAGAAACGCTTTGATTAATAAATGTAGTGTAATAAAAAACGTATGGCTTACAAGATTTAAGTATAAAAAAAATTGAACTTTGACGAACCGATTGGAAAGTGAGAGAATCTAAATAAAAAAGAAATGTCCAAGCGCGTGACGTTTGCATATTTGTACGACATAACTATGTCCGGGTTAGGGGATGGGCGCTAATAATTAACCAAAGGATATTTTTAGTTGTCAAAAGTTTTTTACACAAATTTATATTTAGAATTGTATAGTGATACCATAATTTTCCCTATAAATAATGTGAATTTAATTATTCGTTTCAAGTCGGTAAAATTTTAAAATGTCAAAGAAGACTCCTCCACCCACTTCTAATTTTTTAACAAGGGTCTTCTCACGACCTTCATCCTCCTCTTCAAAGACGAAACCCAAATCTAAGAAGCCATCAACCAAAACATCCTTTTTAAAACCCTGGAAAAATAATTCTCAACTCGCTGCATATACATCAAAAAATTCCACGACAATATCATTTTTAACAATAAATATTAATTCAACAGATATATTCGGTATAAGCATATTATTTAAAGAAATATCAGCATTATTAGATATACATTTTACATTCCTTTCAAAGCAACCAGACTTTATCAGATGGTTTATAATATTATGGGAAATGACGGTTGTTTCTATATGCATATTACATTTAGGAAAGTTGCTTGATGTTTTATGGATTACAACTAAATTAATTGATGACGGAGCTAGAAGCTTTGTAGACTTATTATTTGGGATAATTGTTGCGACATATAATTTCTTTACTTATATATTTTAGGTAGCATTACTATAGAAAAGATAAATGTATAAAATGGGATCCAAAGATTTACATGTATTAAGAGACTTTTAATGCTTTTAGATTATGTTTTTAGATGATGGAAGGATCATTTATAAAATGGTTATATAAGTTATTATTCAAAAACGACAGGTTGAAATCATCAACTTTGAAGATTTTCTTGATGCTGCATTGTAAACCTCAACCAACGTGTGATTTCTAAAACCGTAATCAGAATCCTTTATTCCGAGATTCAACTTGGAGCTTTATGAAAACAAAATCACTTATTCTTGACGAAGACTTGAACACTTTACACAAACGAAAATTGCAGGACCGGGTTTATTAGATCAAAGAAAGCTCATTCCAAGTGACTAAATAGGGACAATAAAATCTGTGAATACCGCTGTCTGAAGAATCGTGGAATTCAAAGGGTAAATACCACAATTGCATTCGAATAGCCGAAAAAAAATTCTGGCAAAAAAAAAGAGAGAAATTATCATCTCACCATGGGCGTGATGAAGATCCGTCTGTCGTATATTACCTTACATACCTGCCATCGTTTCCTCAACCCACAATCATATTTCAGTGAAGGATATATTTTTTATTTCAATTCGTTCCTTTGGGACTGACTATCCACAATTATATTTTTATTTATTTATTTATTTATCTTACATATGTTTCATTCTATGAGACTATTAGCGATTGCGTTGTAATGACATTCTTACTTAAATTTCATTTCTAATTCTTGCTTTTTCTAAATTTATCATTAAAATATTTCAACGATATTGAGAAGACCCATATGATGATGATTCTTTTATACAATTTAACAATAATCATTAATTTTTGGAAGTTGTTTGGACCAGAATTAACACGTGTTTGCTATTCATATTCATGGTATATGTTTAATAAAGAATTTGAAAGTCAAAGTCAAAATATATAATGGAATGTAATTGATAATGAAAAATCTTGAATATAATTATTAATTAATGGATGCTATTTTTTCAAAATTTTTTATTAAAAACTCAAAAAAAAAAAAATAAATGTTACTTTATATGCTAAATACAAATTTTTATATCAGTTCAGATTGCCAAATAATTAACAATTATTTATAAAAATATATAATATATTTGATAAATTTTTCTAAATAAATAATATAATTTATTAAGTTATTTTAAACAAATTATAAATCATAAAAAGATTTTATCCAAAATTTATTTTTTATTTTTATATATATATATATATATATATATATATATATAAAATAAAGTATTATTAACGTTAATTTTTTTTTAAAAAAAAGAGAGAAAATCTTTGAAAAAATATATATATTATCTTCATATATATACAAAGTAAACAAATCTTTATAATTTAAATCAAAAAAGAACCAATAATTTATATCAAATAAGAATACAACGTAAAAAAAAAAAAATTTTTTTTCTGTATGTGAAGTTTATGTGTTGTAACTATTTAAAATAAAATATATAAATAGAATTCAAATAAAGTATCTTAAGTTAAATAAAATCTTTTTAAAATTTCTATAAAATAATCTTCTATTTCGTTTAAATAAATGAAGAATGAATTAAATATTGAGAAAAGATATATAACAAAAGGAAGTGGGATAAATTAAAATATGGATGTATTAATACCAAAAAAAAAAAGTAGATAAATAAAATGCGCAGATAAAAATTTCTTCTTTTGAACGAATTAGATTTTTCAATAATGTTAAATTCACAAATCATCATTTTTTTTACTTTCATTGGCAATATTAGTTATGTCACCGTTCGCATTTGGATTATTTTGCTGATTCGATTCTTCATTCTGTGAACTTTGAGCATCTGAAAGTATTTCATACATAGAATCACGCTTATTAAAGCTTCTTACTGTTAATCGACGACTATTCCGCGTTTCAACTGAATCCGCATCTGAAACAGTATCTTCCGTGGATTCTACATGAACACTAGAAGTCGAATTAGGACGCGGTAAACCATTTGGCGTCGGTAGACGTGGTGAAACTGGTGCTGAACGTATCGATGAATTGATCGGTGATGTTGATTCATCTGCCGAATCAGAAGATAAACTTTCATCATCATCTGCTTGAAGAGCAAGATCATTGACTTCTTCTTCATCTGAAGAATCAACTCGACGTAACTTTTTAGTACCTGTCAATTTTCTTTCCAAGCCAACCACTTTCTTGGGTGCTCCGTCCATATAATGCATACTGTTACGATTACTCCTTCCGTCGATGTCTTCACGAAGGTCACGGCGCCGCAAAACATTTTTTGGTGATAATACACTAGGTGAAAGAGGGGCTACATCAAGATCATTATTCGTTGTAGATTGCGAAGTTTCTACTGATTTATTATTTTCTTCTATTCTAGAATTAGACTCCTCACTTTCCTTATTTTCAGATGGAGGTGCGTCTATAGTTCTAGGTGCAGCTGTACCGTTGCTATCAGTAAAGAAAATGTAATCGAATTCAGCCATAAAAAGACTAAAAACTCCTGCAGGAATACCCAGCGTTGGCGAGAAAACGATTCCAATATTACGAACTGTCATCTTATTAATGTCGGAATTTTGTACAATACGGATCAAATGTCCGGTTAATGTCCTTAATAATGTATAATTTGATAAAGGAAGGGCACAGACAAGACGACCAAGTTCATTTATACGATCACGTCGATCAAGAAGATCTGATAATTAAGATAATTACATTTAATAAGCTTAAAAATTATTGATTGATGAAAACATAAATTTGAATATAACTTACCAATCACATTAACAAATTCTGCGTGTAATTCACGAGTTAGAACACTTGTGGGCAATTCCCTCAGGTATAATTTCAATAGCCCAGCCACAGCATGTACGTCATAATATTCACCCTCGCCTATTAAATCAACATCTCCCTCCGAGTTAAATCTTTCCTTTAAGAATTTGATAGTAGCCGTGGCTCCATTTAAGCGGTAAATTCCTTCTTCTTCTGTAGCATTATTTGCATCCAAATATTCAATACATCGATATACTACAGCAGGCAGTTCATAACCTTCTTTAATTCGTGCTACTGATATAGCATAATCCAATGGAACACCAAAAACAATTTTGGACACGTCAGGTCGAGATTCATGAGATTTCTTTTTATCATCTTTACTACTACCAAACATGCTGCCAAAGAAAGTTTTACGTGACGTTTTTTTCCTTTCAACTTGGTTACTGTCATCATGCGGACGTCTTAAATGTCCATGTAATTGCATTTGATCTCGTACTCCTTGAACATATGAGGATTGTTGCGGTGGATTATTAACGCTCGTACCACCAACAGGCGAAGCTGTATTTTCTCGGTCAGGAGTACCACTATAGTTCCTACGATCTGGATCGTCTCGACTTAACACGCTACCGCGTTTCACAACTGGAGTTGAAGATACACCCAACATGGATTGCTGTTGATTGCCACCTAAAGAATTCCTTGGTGGATCATTCCATTGGTCCGACTGCTGCAATAATGAACTTGAGCTCTGTACACTAGAGGATGGTGATGATGATAAAGAAGATGATGGATGATGTGAACTATAATTAACACTACTAAAACTAGAAATTGAATCATTTCCTTTTTTCCTATCAGGGCGATTGTCTCTTTGCTGTTCGTTCGCAAGAAGTTTTGCATCGAAAAATTCATGTTTACCAAACTGCGAAATTGGATGAGCACCGACTTTGGCAATGATTTCTTTTGGAAATTTCTTCTTCGAGTTCTTTTTGCTTTCCCGTTCTTCTTCTTCACCTACACCAACATACTGAAGTAAGGCCTCCACCCATTCATCTCTTTCTGCATCACTCTCGGCACATAATACATGTTTATTCTTTGAACCAGTTTTTGGCTCCAAAATTAAGAAAGCGTGCCTAAAGGAATTGTCACTATCCTTGTCCGCTTCATTAATATTATTATTTTGTTGTCGCCCAATTTGTGCATAAGTCAAGCGAATAGAACCGAGATGATTCCCCCCTTTCTATAAAAATTGTTAAAAAAGCAATTATGTATCAATAAGAATCCTACTTCATTTAAATTTTCTTTAAAGAATTAATAAACTCACGCTCTCATAATAGTCAAGCACAGGATTATTCAACACAAAATATCTTGATTTCCAACCACCAAAGTTCTTGCCTTTTTTTGTAAGATATCCCTCCTTATATCCGGACTGCTTTATCATTATCGGTAAACAAAAAAAAAATTACAACATTTGGTTTAGTTACAGATACATCATTTATATTAATTCGATATTTAACTATTGAAATTAATCGTACCCTATAATCCTTTTCTTGTTGATCAATTACGTTTGAACTTAAAAATTCACATAAATCTTTAGAATCTTTCAATGGCAATGAAATGACATGTTGAAGATATTGTTCCAATGCAATCTATCATTTAGATAAAATATTTTGAAAATGTAAAACAATTACTAATGAGGTCATAATTTAACATAAAATGTGATAGCAAAAAAACACAAACCTTTCTTTGATCTACTTTACTAGGGGCATTATTGTGGAAGAGATTTTTATCCGGTAATTTACCAATTTTATTTATAGTGCTTTTGTTTTGGTGTTGTTTCAACTATAAATTCCGGAAGAAAAAGTTAATTAGTCAATAATTCAACTATAAGCTTGAATGACAATTAGTAATCTGATCATACTTTTGAATCCAAAGTTAAAAAGTCAGAATATAATTTCTCAACTCTCCATAATTCTTTATCCAACCCAACGACTGAACTATCTTGCACCCTTGCATGTCCTACTGATATTACAAATGCCAACACTTCTTTGCCCTTATCATTATTCTTTTTATTGCTGCCAATAACCTTTACAGCAATGCCAGAAATACCATCTGAGGTAATAGCTTGTGTACCATGTGGTTTTTGGTGTTGCTGCGTAAAACCTGGTTGTTGGAAAGGTTGTTGAGACATTTGCTTTTGAGTCATTTGCTGTTGTTGCGTTTGTGGTGACTGCTGATGAAGACCGTGAGATGGATTCGTCACAATACCAGCGTCAGGAAGAGATCGTTTGTTTTTTATATGTTGAGCTACACGTTCAGCAGCAGGACTATCTCTTGGACTTTGTCCAGGTGTCATATAAACACTGTGACGAGTATTTTGACCGGGAATTGATAACGTGTTAGAATTCAATCCTGGGTTACGTAATTCAGGATAATGCCCACCTCGAGGAGGTGGCATAGCTGAAACTCTAGCTCTTGGTCCAGGTGAGACAGGTGAAATGTAATTAAAAGATTTACTAGGTCTCAATGCCTTTTCTTTTGGAACATTATCCGTAGCTAAATAAGTGCTCCCCAGGTTTGAATCACTATGATTATGAGTCAGAGAATCTCTCCTTGATTTTTTCGAGGAATCTTCGGAATCATCACTAGGCACCGATACAAACGGTTGTGATGTATTATTATTATCACGAAATGGTAATGATTGTGATCTAATAGGTAAGTTATGTTCTATCGTAGGTATTTGAATAGTACCTTGTAAATTTTGTAAATAACCGTCATTACTTGCATTGTTCTGATCAATTATAATAGTACCGTTTGATATATTAGGCTTGCTATCATGACTAGGACTATGTGGAGGTATAGGCAATTCAGAATCATTACTGGATTTACGTGATTCATTACCATAAGCAAATGCTCTAGGTGAGGATGGTAACTTTGGAGAACGAGGTGGTATAGATGATGATGAGTTTGACAAACCAGGAGATTCAGGAATTTTATGGTCATTTTCCGTTAATGCACTAATACTTTCTTCGGAATCTAACCTATCTACACTATGATTTTCCTCAAAATTTGACTTTTCCCTAGGCATTGGTTGAGGGAACTGATCTAGAGCATCATTTTCATCCAAATCTGTGTCAATGGTTTGTGCTGTACTATTATGCGTATACCTACTGGTACCGCCACTACTGCCTACGCTTTCAGACCCTGAAGATTTTACTGAAATGGTGGGTGATGGAGGATTCCGTAAAACGGATGATTCGGAATTTTGTTCAATAGGAAGCGATGTTGGTTGTCCCTGAGAGTTTCGTGGAGAGTCTTGAGAATCTTGAACTTCCGTTAAGTTTGAAGGAGACTTTGGACGATTATCAATTTGTAAAGAATGTTGTCGTTGAATAGATTTTGGAGGAAGAACTGGTGGTAAAGAATAAAGAGTTTTGACAAGGTTAGATGTATCATTCGAATCAATTGTGATTGAAGAAATTGATTCATTAATATGGGTGATGATACCATTTTCATTTTTCACTGAATTGGTATCTGTTTGCAGTTGATGTGTTTCTTCTTTTTGTTGATCAATTGAACTTGCTTCATCATCCTTGAGAGCAACTTTCATATCTGTTTCATCATAAGCCGATACAGATGTCTCAACATTAGTGGATACATCAGATGATGCTGAAATGGACGAATCGTGCTGATTTAGTGATTTTGTTTCTAAAGATGGTGCTTTATCTAATGATGATAATTGTGGTGGTGATGGTTGATTTGATTGACTTGAATTCACGCTTCCAGTTGGTAATTGACGAACAGATTGAACAGGTGGTTTGAATGTACTCGGCGCAGCCGTAACAATAATATCATTAATATTATTTGAATTACTTGAATTATCAGATTCCACGGGTTTTTTATCTTCACTCCCTCCCTTCTCAATTGGCGTCTTTTCGTCCTCGGAACGACTTGAGTTTATGCTATCATTATCCCTAAGTTTTATAATAAGCCTCTCTCTTTCATTGGAAAGTTTTTGATTTTCCTTTTGTAAATTATCTATTACTGATTTTTGTTTCTCTATTAATTTCCACAACTGATCGTTTTGCGATCGTAATTGATTACGTTCAGTTATAACCTGTGATAAAGATTCTGCTCCAGCATTGGCATCTGAGCCAGGTCGTACTTGTTGTTGAGGTTGTTGTTGTGCAGACATTATAATGCAGTTTTCCATTTAAAAACTACATACGACAGCAACACTTTTTTAAAAAAAAGAAAAAAGAAAAAAAATTTTTTTTTTTTTGTTCTCTATATATTAGAAACTTTTTTTATTGTTATTTCCTTTTATAGTTGAAAGAAAAAAAAAAGAAAAAAAAAAAAAAGGAATTTTGGCAGTTGTACCCAGAGTTATATTTTATTGGTATTAAAGTAGAGGTGATGAAGGGTATATGAATAATCACAAATAACCGAAACAGAAAGGAATTAAATATCTTTTTTGAATTATTTGTGAAGGATGAAAGATTAAACGAAAGGATAAAGCAAAAAAAAAAATAATTGGTATTCGATAAGATGTCAAGTATAAAGATTTTTGGTAAAGCGAGGAATAGGAAAAAAAAATTTATATTCAACAATACATGAGCAAGAGATATAGGGGAAGTAATTTTTTTTTTTTTGTGTGTTTGTAATATACGTGTACAAAGAAATTAAGTCATGTGCACTTCTTCAATTACCCATGAAGTATAAATTTTTTTTTTGTTTCGCGTTCTATTTGTTACCAATGTGCGGGGCATGTAATGTGAAAAACCAAGCCTATATTTAATTTCTTTGAGCAGATGATCTCGCGATCACTTGACGATTTATATTTTTTTTTTTTTTTTTTTGAACTTCGGGATTCTCAGTATCACTATTGTTATACACTTGTTTTTATTTTTTGAATTCTTTTTATCATGCTAAACATAAATGTAATGAATGAATTTGCTTGGAAAAATTTTCCTATTTGATGAAATAACTCTCTTGTTATCTTTTTATTGATTAGAAATCCTTCTTTCCGTCTCTTTAATATCATAAGGATCAATCTTTGCAAGAAATGAATCTGTTTCAAATTAATTTCTCACTTATTTTGAGTAAAACTCTCAAACCAAACAATATATGCTTAATAAGGAAGTTTTAATTAAACTGCCTCGTGAAACTAAATTCTGAATAGGTCTAAATTTGGTTGAAATCGACATTTATCATAAGCTAATACAGTTAACCCATTTTTTTTTTTTAAAGATTTCAAATTCAAAATGAAAAACTTGTTTGCAAAAAAAAAAAATAAAATAACTGGGACGTTTGACAAAATCAAACACAGTTACGATCATTTAATGTAGTACATTTCTTTTCAATATTGGATCAAAACTTAAAAAAAAAATTAGAAAAAGAAAAAATGAAAACAGATTGGCATATTTAACAAAATTGGGAATTATTTTTCGAATGTTGATCTTTTTTTTTTTGATTAATGATTTTTGCTGCGAACAAAAAAAAAAAAGTACCAGTAGCTTGTAAAAAATATTTTTAAAAATATTTTGTACAAAGCATTAAATGTCACAAAATTCTATTGAAGGAAATCCAATACGCATTGTATGATTTGTTTATTTGATTTTCATTTTACATCAATCCATAAACAAATGCTAGTAATTTTATTTTTTTTTTAAAAAAAAAAGTGGAGATTGGTATTCATTAAATGCAGTTTTATTTAGGTATGATGGTATGGTCTTGGCGCAGTCAGTAAAAAGCTGACCTTGAGTTGCGTGTAACACGCAAGATTATCAGATTAAATTTTTTGATAGGCATTTTCCGCGCATGTAACTGATAATGATAAGGCGTTTGATCGATCAAGATTAAATATAATCTACCACTTCTCTCTTTACGAAATAATTTACCTTTGATCGTGCACCTATTAAACGTTCAATATGCTCAAGACTTTTGTTAGAACAACGACACCAATCCTTGCTGCCGCAAAAAAGGTAAATACTTTAGTTTGTTGCGTAATTTCAAAAAAAGGGTATATATTAATGGTACTTGAATTTTGAATTCCATTGAATTTAAAGAATTTTCCTCGCGCAGTTAGCTCGGTCGTAACGCCAAGTGATACCTCTCTAGTAAGTGTTATGTATTTTGCTCGGGCTGGGCTTTATCTACGCTCTCACTCTTGTTAGGATACTAGTAAGAACATATATGCAGGAATTTGTTGAAAAATCGAGATAGATTAATTTGCTGTTAAAATTATCAAAAGCTTTAACGTTAAACTTTATATTTGAAAGTTCTAATCTTTTCATCTATCCTAATTAATTAAGTTAAATACCTCTAAATATGGAGGAAAATACACTGTAACACTAATCCCTGGAGATGGAATTGGTCAGGAAACTGCAGCAGCTGTCAAGACAATCTTCAAGGCAGCCAATGTCCCAATTGAATGGGAGCAATTGGATGTCACAGGCTACACTCAAGAAGGGGATCTGTTATTTAAACAAAGTGTGGATAGTCTAAGGAGGAATAAAGTCGCGTTGAAGGGTACGCGTATTTAATCATTCAAATTGACAACGTGTTAATGTTATTTAATTAAATTTAAACCGGTATTATAGGTATCCTGTATACACCCATATCAAAATTGGGTCATCAGTCATTTAATGTTACTCTGCGTAAAGATTTAGATATTTATGCATCTCTAGTTATTGTCAAGAATATTAAAGGTTATCCTACCCGTCATAATAATGTGGACTTTGCAATCATCCGTGAGAATACGGAGGGTGAATATTCTGGGTTGGAACATCAGGTGTGAAATAAAATGTTGTCATGTAAATCAAATCAAAGATTTTTTATTTTATTTTATTTGATTTTCTATTTAGATATTTATTTAATTATTTAAATCTTGATTTTATGCTACCGATTAGTCATTTCCAGGAGTTGTAGAATCTCTCAAGATTGTAACTAAGGCAAAGACGGAACGTATTGCGCGTTTTGCTTTTGACTTTGCCCTTAAAAATGGTCGTAAAAAAGTCACATGTGTCCATAAGGCTAATATCATGTATGAAAAAATTTTTGGGTTTTTTTTTATTTTATTTTATTTTTTTTTATTAATGTATATTTTCAAATTGAAATTCCATAGGAAACTTGGAGATGGACTTTTCCTTAACACTTGTCGTGAAGTTGCCGAAGATTATAAATCGTCGGGAATTGAATTTAACGATATGATTGTTGACAATTGTTCCATGCAGTTGGTATCTAAACCTCAACAATTCGATGTAATGGTGATGCCTAATTTGTATGGTAATATTGTCAGCAATGTAGGAGCGGCATTGGTTGGTGGTGCTGGTATCATACCCGGTGCCAATATCGGTAGAGAATTCGCCTTATTTGAACCCGTAAGAAAATTCACGATTAATCTTTGTTCTTTGCTTATCTGTGAATAAATTATCTCATAATAGAGTCAAAAAAAATTCTAGGGATGTCGTCATGTCGGTAAAGATATACAGGGTCATAATACCGCTAATCCAACTGCATTGCTTCTTTCTGGGGTAATGATGCTTCGACATTTGTCACTTAATGACTTTGCCAATAGAATTAATAATGCAGTTTATCAAACAATTCAAAGAGGATCGGTACATATAACTCTTTTCATAAAATATTTTTTTTTTATTCTTTTGCACTTTAGAACTTTTGATCTAATGTTCAATTTATTAATTAGGCCAAAACGCCTGATATGGGAGGCACATCTACAACAACGGACTTTACCCTTGCAGTAATTTCAAATTTGTAGCAATGCAACTCAATTTTCACACAGAGAAATGAATTCAAATGTAAAGAAGACAATGTTAAAGATGATTGGATTGCTCATACATTGAAAGGAAAACGTGTGGAAAATAATATGGATTTTGAGGGAGGGAGAATGAGATTTAAAAAAGAATGTTTATTGATTTTAATTAAGTTAATACATTTATTTAAATTATTAAAAAAGAAACACCCATAAATTTAAAAGATAATAATTCCATGGAAATCGTGACCCTGTTGATTTGTGAATTTGACCAATAACCGTTAATGTTGAAATAAAATATTTCCAGAATACGTACGAAAAGAAAGTGAGCGTAAATGTTAATGACATGAAATTCCATATCGAATGGATATCACGTGAGTTCTCTTTACTCGAAAGTCATTTAATTTTATTGTGTGCATTAATGATACATAGGGAATTCAACGCCCTTTTTTTACGATAGTCAATTCTTAGGACTACCCGAAGTTGATGCATGTAGATTTAAAAAAACTTGAGCACAATCCATAAAAGACGTTATAAGGAGTAAACATGAAAAAGTATCAAAAATTATCAATCTAAGTTTTCTTTGTAAAATTAACAAATTTAAAAGAATCAAAAAAGGAAATCGTATTGTATTCATTCATATAATCATTCATTATTTGGGACGTAATCTTTCAACAACAACTCGATATGTGTTGACAAATCATGTACTCCCTCTGCATGGGCATACAAGCCACACCAAAGAAATCTATCTACATATTGAACTAGAGTTTAGAGCTGATGTTGCGTTCTCTATTCCTACTTGTTCATGTTTTGATAAAATTCTCGCATAATGATCTCACGCGTCTCCATTCTAATTTGAGAGTTGTTGAATCATTTTTTTTTTTTCTCTAGCACTTGAACATTCGTGAAACTGCATAATAATAAAGATTAAGGAATTTTTTTAATCCGATTTTACTCCCACCAATAAAAAAGAATGAATGAATGAATGAAAAAAAAAAAAAACTGCAAGGAAAATCAGAAAAGAAACGATTCTCATTTATTATATTTGTTACACGAAAATCCGTAAACACGATAAAGATTAAAAAGATTCGGATAAACAAATATGATTGAAAATGGGAAGAACTCGAAAGTAAGATAAGGTCAAATTAAAAAATATAAAAGGTTAGTCATTTATCGAATTATCGAATCTAAAAACAAAACACCTCATTGATCAATCTAAATAAGTAAAAATTATATAACTCGCAAAAAATGTCGAATATGCATTATTTTGTGTATTGAAACATATTTGTGACAAATTGGCGCGGAGTGAACTCAGAGTTCAAGATAGTAGATCACATCAAAGGTACAGTACAGTACGAGATGTAGAACAAACATTTCTGTGGGTTATAAACTAGTGTGATCCTTTGAGATATGTCAGATTTCGCGAGATAATGCTTCCTAATTTCGGCTGGAATTATAAAAAAAGCTTGATTCGGGCTAGAATTTCCGGAGTGTATCGGTTGGTAAGGAAAAAATTCAACGATTTTCATCGGGGAGCAAAAGATATTTGAGGGCACGGGTACCCTAATGATAAACGTTGGCGTCATTTCCAAACCTCCTTCTCTATTTCCCCGTCCCTTTTTTTGAAGGGACCAAATATTATCTAGTCTCGGACCCCCCCGTCTATTTATACAAATGTGGTTAGGATCAATGGATTTTCATATTCTTTTTTTCGAATTGACGAATTTCGGAATTTCGGAAAAAACTTGTTGCAATATTACTTTGCTCAGTCCATCCAGATACGTTTTACCGGTTCGTCTCACCTATGGGTTCGTTTCCCCAACGATCTTCATCCCCATAACCTTATGATATTCATGTTTAAAAAAAGTCATCTCGACCGAACCAATCGGCAAAAGGTTACGAAAATGGACCATTTGTTAAAACTGTTTTTTTTTTTAATTTCACTTGTTTAATTAAAATCAAGAATCAATCATGATGATCCCCCGGTTGACAAATTGAATCATGAAATAATTTTAAATTCAACTTGTAACGTACTGTGTGATGATGATACCTAGCATTTCCGCGTGTACCTTTATTTATACAATTTGAAAATCTCCTGGTGCATTTTTGTACAAATTGCGCTCGGCTTGATTTCGCTCACTGAGCAATAAAGAAATTGTGCATTCATATGATTGGATTGGTGCTCACCATCGATTAATTAAATTTTACCAAATTTGGAAGGATAAAAAACTTTATTTTCGTCCTGTACAAGAGCGTAAATGGCATACAACATAAAAATCGATATGTCTTAATGCATACGCATAAATATTTGCATACACACTTGAGATCACGTACGTTCAATCTTATAAAATAAAATGAAACAAAAAAAAAAAAGATTTGCTCTATATAATTGACAAATAATGGCAATAAATGCCAAAAGATCATCAATTGTAACTTTAAAAAAAAAAAAAAAGTCTATCTTTATTTTTTATTAAACAATTTACTAATTTGGACGTTGAACAAAGAGAATAATATATGGTGCGAATGTTGAGAAAGGGGGGGATCGAATCAAAATAAAATGTTCTTGTGAAGATAATCATCTCATGCATTTTAAGAATAAATTTTAGAGTTTAATTACTTTTTACTTTTTTTCAATTTGACAGCATTTCCCCCACATGAAAAAAGGTAACGTTGAGATTATGCTCATAATTGTCGTGGTTGCTTTTTTTTAGGTGTTATCTTCTCCTTTTTCAGTACTTTTTAATCAATGAAATTCGATTCGTTCGTCGTAAAATTTTATTTTCAGATGGACTTGTTACACGCAAATGTACGTATTAAAGTATATGCAGGTTAACGATTGATCATTCATTAACGACGAGACATGAGAAGTCTATCTTTAGAGTTGAATTAAAAAATAATAATAATGATGCGAGTACAGGTATCGTGATTATTCCTATTGGATCATCCCATAACCTTTTATCAAGCACATGTTATGCCAAAATACTTTTTGGTCGGATGGTACAAGGAAAATGGTATCTGATCGACAATGAAATCATCCAACCTGCAAAATTTCTCGTTTTTGATCAAATAATCTGGGGGTGGGAATACAAAGTTTATGAAATCCTGAAGCAATTCAAGATTTTTTTTTCCTTTAATTAAATGTCAAATGATTTATTGCGTAATAAAAAGAATTCTCAGTAGATAAGACTCATTACACAACGAGTAAACAAATATTTCCCAATCAAAAATGTATCTTTTTTCTTTCAATAATTATCTCTTTTTAATTTTAGAAAGTCAGATCCAGTTATCAACTATGATTCTACCATATTGGTACGTTTTCATTAAAGCGCCAATTGGTACTTTTTTAACCTTTCTTCAAAAAGTGTATAAATATTTGTGTACCGAATCAAAAGATGTTTGCCGTACCTTACGTCACACAAACAATGCCGGACATCAATGAAAATGTTGTTGGTTTTTTGTTTACATGTAGTGTGGTAAAAACGGAAGGGGAATGAATATTATCATTTTTCGTCCATCTTTAACATTTTTAATAAGGATTATTAAGTATAATGATTCATTTTAGGTTTAAGCTAGATTGACAACAATAATGAATTTTTTTTTTTTTTTTCAACACATTCAAAATTCTTTTTTAACGCGAGAAATCTTATCCCACTATGGTATTAATTAAATCTATTTATAAAAAAAAAAAAAAAGGACCTTATGACCTCTTGTGTTGTGTTGTTAATATTAATATAGAATATCGAGATAGGATTACCTTGCACAGATTCAAGGTAATCACATTGTTAAAAAATCTGAACATCCATTTTTTTTTTTTTTTAAACGTTTGTGGCTAAAACATTTCTTATTTTATAACATCATTGACGGAATTGAGCATGTTACGACAGGCGGTTCGACTCGTTAAAAACTAATATATTTTTTTTTGTTTTCGATGCAATCCGATCCAAATCCGGGTGAGATTTTGGGTATCGACGTAAATCACATGTTTTCGCATCAAATCTTAAATTTTGAATCTCAACTTCTATTCATAATCGTGACACATTGACCCAGTTTAAAATTTGGGGAAAAGAAACGAATCGGTCTTTCATATGACAGAACACGTGTGATTTGCTTTTAACTCGATGCACTTTAAACCATGTCGAATTTAACTCCGGGATAAAAAAAAAAAATTGACAAACCCAAATAATGATTTAGCCACAGCACTTGCCACCACAAAAAATTTGGGTCTAAAAATAAATTAATAAATTATTTTAATAAAACACCACATATTTTGTAACACAACGCATGCATCACAATCACAACCATCGTTGCCTAATGAACACAACGTTTCAAATCATAAATATTTAATTGAAAAAGAAACTAAAAAAAAGAGATTACCCAATGAGCCATAAGTTTCTGAAAATTTCTCTAAACTTTAAAAAAAGAGAGAGAGAGAGAGAGAGAAAAAAAGTTACGGGTTTGGAATATGAAACGGAAGATCCATTTTTATTTTGAAATGAGAATGAAAACTATTTTGCTGCATTTCCAAAAAAATGCAAAAAGTTAATTATAAACAAGTTATTTATGGTGAATGTTAAATGTGAGACATTGCATATATTTAGGGGACCGTATCTCAGCAATTTATGTACATGAGTTGTTTTTATTTGTCACCCGTAACGTTTTTGGAAATAATCCAAATATAGAAACAAGGATTATTTAAAGAAAACGTCCAATCTACAATTTGTTACCAGATTTATTAAGTGCGATAGTGTGCATGATAACAAGGGAAATTTGAATGCATGTATGTTTACCAAGTTATATAAAAAAATTTGATTCACACAACATAAAGAGAGAGAGAGAAATATGGACTCGAAAGGTTCTCACAAAGGTAATGCGTCATGATAATAATAAACCTTAACGCCATAATACAGTTGTTTTGCATTATTGTTGAGATTTAAAAGGATTAAGGTTTAAAAATTTATCGACATAAAATTGGCCGGAATTAACAAATATAGTCACAAATCAATTAATCACAAATCTACATCATGTTATGATCCGATGTGAAAAAAAATCCGACCCATCTCGACGGATGTTCATTTTTGATGTACTTTAGTGGAAGTTCTAATACGATAATGAAAAAACTGGTGATACAAATTTGATGATTTTTTCGCACTAACCAATTATATCAGAATTCACAGGTTTTGTTCTCCTTATGTCACAACTTCAAATAAAAAATTTTTTTTTTTTATTTATGTAAATCAATATAAATTAATTTTTTTTTTTTTTTACAATACATGTATATTTTACATCCCATAAAATAAAAAAAATAATGTTACAAAATTTCGAATAGAGGGAAAAAAATAAGTATAAAATGACGGGTCATTCCTTCATCCCCCACTTTCCTTTCGTCTCTTTAGATGTTTTTTTGGTTAAAATAATTTTTTTTTTATCATTTTTTCTCTCCCAAACATTACTTTTAGCAATTATCAACACCTTTACATCACCCCATTTTCACTGCGGATTTTTTTTTTTTTTGGAAAAAAAAATATTTAAGCGCGCTCAGTTCTTACATCTCCAAAAATTCTTCAAAACATTAATTATTCGTTACTTTCAAAACTTTGCTAATCCATAAGATCCGTAAAAATTTTGTTGATTCTATTTAATTTAGTTCAATTTCAAAACTTGTTGTTCTTATTTTAACATAAAAGGAAAAAAAAAAAAAAAAAACGAAACAGATAATTTATCTTGGTGAACAATAATCAATAATAATAAAGTCTCGTGATTTTCAAAAATTATTACAGTTCACGTTTAAAGATATTAAAATATAAAGATAATATAAAGACGCTTGTATATCTATACACTCGAACCAATTACCTTGGGTAAACTCTTTTAAATTCAAAGCTACCTCAATTTTATAAAACCAAAAATGTCGTCCGATTCAGATTCGTGTCCTCCATCTCCAACAAGCCAGTCTTGCATCACCGTATGTGTAGGTGCTTCCGATAGTGAAGATGAATGTCAACAAGGATTACTCAGTCAGCATCGTAAATCCGTACAATTCTCAAGATTCCTAGTCGTTCACGAAACCTGGTGTAACGATGAATACGATCGTACCTCGATGGAACCAGCAAGGCTTAATTTCAAAGAGTACGAAGAATTACTTCAGCTTCGATGCGATTTACGAAGAGAAATGGATAAAATGATGAAGGCCGCTGCGTCTCAAGCATCAGCTTCAAACAATTAGGGGAACGATAATGTCGTAAAGAAAGATGATCCGGTGGGCGTTTTGGACGGGAAATTTCGGTATATTTTATTAGTGGCTTGACACAGAACTTATTTCCCCACTATGAAACTTTTCCCACCTTTTTTTTTTTTTTTTATAAATAATTTTATTTTTTTTTTAAAAAAAAAAAAAAAAAAAATCAACAAAATCTATATTAACGGATTTAATATTATTTTGTGCAATTAATCAAGCAATAATTATTCATTCAAACTCCGTTAAAAAACATAGACTGTATAGCAAAACAAAATATATTACTATTAATTATAACTTTTTTCTTGTAAAAAAAATTTTTTTCATCTTTTTTTTTTTATGTTTCATAGAGATTCTTAATTTGTAATAGAAACCCCCTTTTTTTTTTCGTCAGTTAATTTTCTATGAAACAACTTATTTGTACAGCCATTTTACTTTTTACCCTACTTAATAATTCTTTGTAATTTCTTTTTTTTTTTCACTTACACAAAAAAGATAATTAATAAAATTATATAATAATTTTCGCATTTAATTGATTTCCGATTTACGGTACGCACGGACTTAATGTGAATGTAACTAAGATTCTATTTTTTTTTTTTGTTTAAAAAAATCGGAAAAGTAATTTTTTAAGAAAAAAGTACACATGATGCAATGTTTATATTTAGTACATATGTATTTCATTTTCTTTGTATATTAGCACCATTTGATAGCGCAGAACCCAACCCGTTAAATTTAAAAAAAGTTCCTTATCTAGGGAATATGATATTAACGAGATAATTGTCGCGTTAAAAATTTGATCTTTGCAGATCTGCGTGAGAAAAGCAGATGTTAAAGGTCATAAATCTTACTGTTACGTGTCAATTCGACTTGAATTTTCATTGAATACTTTCCCATGTATAAGAAAAGGTTTACGTTTATCCGATATGATGTCATGTTAAGCTTTCTGATCCAAATAAAGAGAACAAATTCCCTAAATACATCACCTCTCCTGACGTCCTTTATCCTTTAAAAATTATGTTAACAAGGATTTTAATTCGGCTTTCCTCCCTAACTTCGATTCACTGAGTAATTAAGAATTTCATTAACTAACCGGAAATGGTTAAATTATATTTTTTAGAAAATTCAAAGAAATCATTGTCTTTCGGATTTATTCGATTATGGATATTGTTTTTTTTTCAAAAATAATTCTGTGGCGTGATCCAATTGTGGCGGTTCAAATTTGCCTTCAAAACGGGTCAAAAAGAATGTCGTGTTCTATGTTTGCTATTTTTATCTCGGTTTGTGTCATGAGGTCTTTGCCTTTGCACGTGACTTAAAAAAGTTGTTATCTTGTATGCAAATCAAAAAGAAATGGGTTAGTTCAACTTCCATTATGCTACACGAAATCGTTATCATAAAAAAGTGTGTACCCGAATAATTAATTAAATGATTAAACTTTTTAAAAAGAGAACTAGGGAAACCGTTAATATTGCGCCAAAACGCAATCCTTTAATGTGGAAATTTACCAATTTAGAAGATGAATAATGTGTAACGCATGTGGTAAATCATTGGGCGTAAAAGTTGAGAAATGTAACTTTTGCGTCATGTTGCATGTTGAAATGTATATCTTTTTGGTCTTGGTTCTAATGTTAAATTTGAATTTAAAAAATTATTTCGAGATATTAAATCTTTTTGATCAACAAAAATCTCGAAATCTGGGAAAATCAAGTTTTTCATATTGCTAATCACCCTCTTAAAATTAAAAGGCCACAAATTTACCGGATTCGGTCCCCTTACTGATGTTCACATGGTGTTCAAGTAGCTCTTGAAATTTTTATAATTTACCATATGGGCCGATGAGATTCGTGCAAAATTATTTATTACAGTAATAATAAATCTTCTTTTTTGCCCTTACCAATATTGATTTAACTTTACTGTAATTCAATGTTCGTTCATGTTTCTCACATCATTTCATAAGGGATAGGCCTGATGAGAATTTTCCATTTTAGGTTTAATTAACGAATGTGGTATGATATTTTTCGAATAAAGTTTTGAAAATTTTGGAATAGTGTTATAAAAGCAGTTAAATTTAATGTACTAGTTACTATTTAAATCTACTATTTAAAAAGTATATTGATCAATTATCTATTAATACTTTGGTATTTTGTATAATAATAAAAGCCAAAACTTAAAACATAATATAATAAAAAGATGCAAAAATAAAAATAAAGATAAAAATGAGATACTCTATAAACTCTTTTTACATATTTTACAATGAAATTAATAATTGAACTTCATTATTACTATTAAACATTATTTATACATTAAAATGTCATAAAATTTTACAATAATTCTATAAAGTTATAATATTTTTAAATCTATTTAAATGAAAGATAAAAGATCTCTTATTTAATATAAATTTTATAAAAAAAAAGTCATAAATGTAATTTGTTCATATTTTTTATCTTTAGAAAATAACTTTTTATTAATTTTTCTACAATATTACATATTATATGAAAAAGGTAATTTTTTTCAATTTGTAAAAATCTGCTTTTTAAATTAATTAAAAATTAGTATTCTTAATGAGTCAAATTAAGTTGAATTTTAAATTAAAATTATCCTATATATCTTTAATTTAAAGTACTTATTTATTATGTGTATTAAAATTTACAATTATGCATAATCATACAAATTAAATATATGAATCATTTTCAGAATTCTATTGAAAATAACATTGTAACTAGTTACAATCAATAATAAATAGATATTATAAATTTGTAATATTATTAAAAACAAGCTATAATAATTGTAATTAATAATAAATAAGTATCATAAAATTGTAACTAGTTGTAATAACATCTTTAACTATAATTATTATATTTATTTAAGTAGCCGGTATTATATAATATAATTATATCACATGATACTGATTACTTATTCTAGATTATATGGTAACTTATGCTATAATAACTGTGAAGTTATCAGCAATTACTCATAAAGTTACGATATAATTATTCAGCCTACTAATTATTATAAAATAATATTTAAAAATTATTCTTTTTTCTTTCTCGTTTTATATCATTTAATCTCAATATAACTGCATTTTTTTTATTATGCTAAAATTCAAATAAAACCTTTTAAAACCTTTTTTTTATAATAAAAAATTATTTTATTATTTAGCCAATTTTAAATATAATGATTCTAGAGATAGTGATATATAAGCAATTATTAATTGTATTTCAATTGATAAATCAAATAAGAATTGGATTATACAGTTAGAATGATATTGTGTAAATTTAAATGAAAAAATTGAAAATGAAATTGATCTTTAATATATATAATCAAGATTCTTTATTTATTTATTTTATCATTACATATTTTTTATAAAAAAACTAACATTCATATATTTAGAATTGCAAAACTTTTCTGCACAAAAGAATTTAATTGAGAGTCAATTAATAATAACTGATCTCTCATTTTTAACGTATTTTTAAAGAAAATATATTTAATAATTGTTCTTTTTATTTAATATTAATAGTAAATAGAATTTAATTAAGTATATATAATAATTAATAAATAATTAACATATTAAACTTTTTGTAATGTATTTTAATATAAATAATAACTTATAAGCATAAGGATCATCCTAAATTCAGCCAATCAGGATCGACTAAATTTTTGATATATAATAAATACCAGATAAGATAAACTCATTACGCTACATATGTATTATTGTTAAAATTTTTTTCAAGAGTTCAAAACTAATCACAAAAATAACACGCTCCTTAATCCTATACTAAAGTAGTTTAATCCCAAAAAACTAATACTTAATAAATATAATATATGATATAATATATGAATAAAGAAAATATAAACTTAAATTGCATCAAATGTGACAACAAAATGAAGAAAAATTACAGCATATATGTTTAGAACAATTACCAAAAAAAACCAGAACAACGCATTACCCAAAGTAAAAACTTATTATGTGAAGGAGATTTACTTTATCATAAATGTTATATGTATTATTTAAGAAACCCGATAACAAAAGCAGAATAACAAGAATAACAATTAAAACAAAAGTAGCACGTTAAACTACCATCTAATGTGTCATCACAAAGAACCTTAATTCTAGTTCAATCTCAACCTTGGACTTTGAAAAGCACTCATACCTATAGATATTTTTGAATAACAACAAGTTGAATTAGTTTTTTTGCATAACATTGTAGAAAAGCAACAATCTGAGTTGAATTTTTTACATGAGCAAATTTTACGTGTGAAAGAATAATTAGCAAATAAGATGCGAAAATATTCTGAGATTTCAAAAGGTTAGTTATTTATTTAAATAGTATACTGTAGATATAATAATTTTATAGATTAATCTTTGTTATAGTAATAGATGCGTTGAGAATATTTAGAATTGTCATTGAACTTAATTTTTTTACCTTTTTATCATTCTAAGATTAGTGGCTTAGTAGGGAATAGAGTTGCAATAACAGTCTGTCACTAAATTTAATTTTTTTATTTTTTTTAATTTTTGGTTTTTAACGAAACTGTAATTAATCAAATTTAGTTTAATCTTTTAGAATTAGAAAACTGGTCATTTCCTTTGTTTTATAATGTATTTCTTTTTAAAAAAATATATTAAATTAAATAAAATTAAATGGCAATACCATATAAGATCATAATAATAATTTTTTTATTTAATTTTTTAGATATATCAATATTTTCTCCATTATTTCAAAATTGTGTTAAGAAAATGATAGATATTTTGTATCGTTTACAATATCATCAAAATAGCAATGGAATTTATGATCCTGAAGATTTTCTTAATACAATTGCTGCTCAAACATCTGAGTTACACCAATTTTTTGATATGTTATATCAATCAACAAATCCGACTGGAAAATGTGAAAAAACTAATGTTGCTAGTAAAGGCCGAATTGTAGTATTTTGTTATCAACTTGCTTCTCTTTGTAATAAATAAATGACTTTACTTAAATGTGATGCTGGATTATTTTTTCAACGTTCAGGATTATCTAAAAAGGGATTAATACTTTATGAAATATGGGAATTTTAACTACTTTTAAAATAATTAATCAAACAAGAGTGAAGATTAAAGATAATCATTGTAGCAATTTTTTGAAGTATTTTCAAAATCATGTATATATAGCCAATTAATTAGTAATTTTAATAATTAAAATAAATATTTAATGACCAATTAATTTGTTTATAGATTGAATTTTTATGTATCTTAAATGTGGATGATTATCACGATATTCATGAAGCCCATTATCCTGCAATAACATCTCTTCATCATATTTCTCACATGGCTACTATTATTGTTAATACACCACCAATTTCTGCAATTAAACAAATTACCAATGAAAATTTTCATGTTTATAATCCTTTAATAATTAATATTAATGCTTTATGTGATACCTTAACTTACTAATATATGTCACATTTTGGTTTTAGTTATACTGATCGATATCTATTTTGGTATGATATTTTAGATATAACAAAAATGAATCCAACTGACTTAGAAGATTGGCTAACAGTTTATGTATATGATCCTCAAATTAATTGCAAAAAAAATCAACGTTCTATGGAATATGTCAAACTTGTTGATTTAATTCCACTGGATTTTAAATCAACTAAACAATATCTTGAGATGCTTCAGGTTTTATTTAATATTGTATCTATTAAAAATTATTTATAGCAAAATGTAATTCCAGTTCCTGCAGATTTTCTTAGATAAATATATATACGATCTGCTATTATTCAAAAACTAAAGGGGAATAACAATATACCTAATGAAATCTTAGGAATTATTCCTATGTTAGGCCCTTTTCATATTTCTTTGAATAATCATGAAATTCTTATTATGAAATATTAGCCATTTTTTGATAAACTTTGGAAAGCAGTAATAGAATAACGAAAAAAATTAGCTGCTAAACCTAAACCTTGGCAAATTAACTTAATTCTACATATTACTTATTCTGCTTAGCTTTAATTAAAACAAAAGTAACTCAAAAGTTTCAAACTTCAAAAGATTTAGAATATTGTACTTTTATTGATTTATTAGATAATCTTATTCTTTTAACGCTTGAAATTTATGCAAATCTTTTTCGTAAAGATTTTTGATTATTATATTGAATCTATATTTCGTGTATGGTGTCTTTTTTGAAGAATGAGACGTAAAAATTATGATAAAGCTCCTTTAATTTTTCTTTCAAATATTATTTATTAGAAAACTACTGGTCATTCTCTTTTTGAATGTATATGAAGCAATCTTTCATTTTTTAATGAATACTTTGTAGAAAATTTCCATTCTAGTTTATGAAGACAAATATCACATAAAATATTAAATCATGAAGGCCTTTAAAAAAATGCATTTGTTGTAAATGCTTTATATAAAGATAATAATTTTAATAATACATATGTCCAAGAAAAGCAATATTCATAAAAAGGCAAAAAATTACAAAATTTAATTTTTCTTACAGCAGCTTTTTATTAAAATTTTTTTCTCAATTATATGATAATCAAAATAAAAGTTATATTATTAAACATAATAGAGGAAGACAATTAAAATATCCACAGTATTTTTTGGCTACACTAAATACAAAAGTAGATGTTATGCTTCTTTCAACAGGATATAATTCAGATCAGCCTCCTTCTTCTGAAAAATTTTGTGATTATGATCAATGTTCAATTTTATTGGATACTGAAAATTCGCGGTAGATTTTAATTTGTGATCATGCATATCATAGTGATTGTTTAAAAATTTTAAATTTCGTATGTTTACCTTGTATACATTATTTTTGTGATGAAATTAAAAAACTTTCTCGAAGTTTTATGAATAGATTATCAAAAGGGGTTTTGAAAAATTCAGAAGAGAAGGAAGAAGTAATTATAGATAAAGATAATGAAAATGATAATATATTTGAGATAGATGAATTAGATAAAAACTATTTAGTATAAGAAAAGTTCTTTTATTCATTATTTTTGTTTTGATTTTTATAAACTTCTAGTTTAAATATACATATCTGTAAATTTTTTATTATTGTTTTCTATATATTTTGTATATATTTTAATTAAAAACTAATGATTGTTAGTGATCGACAATGATCAAAAATGATCAACAGACCATTACTAAATTAGGAATGTTCTCTATGCTTAACTTATATTATAATATTATGATCAAAATATAAATAAATTCTGTCTGTGAAAATTACTTCATAAATAAAGTATAATAATCATATATGGCTATGTAATTATTATAGATTATAGGCTACTATTAGATCATGGTTTACTACCAGATTATAGATTACTATTAGATCATAAATTACCAATAAATTATAGGTTACTACTAGTTTATAAGTTACTATTATATCAATATATTGATTGGTAGATTTTACCATTTCGTGATAAAATATTTAATTAATACATTATTTACTGTAAACTATATAGTAATTTCTAATAACTTGTGAAGTTACTATCAATAATATAATCTAATAGTAATTATATAATCTAATAATATAATCTAATATTATCATTATAATCTATTTTTGAGTGTCTTTATGACTTTCTACTTATTCTTTTAATTAATTTCTGCTATATTTATATTAATAACCATATAGTCTAAAGGTAACAATACTATATAAGATAATGGTAACCTTATACAATCAACTCTTATTATAATGAACTCTATGTCCTAGATCTCAACTTCGCTATAAAGCTATAATGAAGATTTTAAGAGATTTAATTGGCTAATTCGCTATAATAAGAGTATTATTATTATATTTGTTTAAAAAATTCATTATATCAAGAGTTCACTATATCAAGAGTTGATTGTAATCTAATAGTATTACTTTTCTTCTTACTCTTAACCTACTTACTTGTCAAATTCTATATTGTGAGTACTGGCCTTCTATACCTGTTTGAAACTCAGGTTTTATATTAGGGAGATGGTCTTTTATATCTGTTTGAAAATCTGATTTTATATTAAGGATGCTGACCTTTTGCGTCTGATTAGATGTTAGATTTTATATTGAAGTACTTACCATTTGCACCTATTTGGTTATCTTTCTAGATGCCAAAATATGGTAAAAAATATTGTGTTAGGTGACGTAGTAAATTTGCATTTAATTTTAGCTGACATTATGCCATAATTTTGGCTGATCTTTTAGATATGTGATTCAAGAATCCAGCTTAGCACCATGATAGTGACTTAATAGTGTCTTGAAACTACTATAAAGCTGTTATAGAACTAGTGAAAAATTTAAATTTTCGTTAATTTTACTACGTCTACTGCACCAGTCACGTGATATTATTTCAGTGATAAAATATCCTCATATAATTACAGGCTAGTAACAGGAATATTCTGAGAATATTTCAGTATCCAATATATATATTTCTGCTACATATTTTTGTATTCAGAATTAGAGATGCAATATGTATTATCATGGTCTGACCCATTTGATTGCTGGAAATCTACCATTTGTGATCTAACTATTGCCTATTAGTTGTTGGTATATTGGCAGGATGTTGTAAATACTTTTATGGTCTGATTATGATTTAAACTGGGTTGAGGCTAGAGCCCACGGTTTCGTGCAATGCAAAAATAAAAAATGTGCATTTTAATATTACCAAAAATGCAAAATATGCAAATAAAATTTTTTATATAGTAAAAATATACTTTATTATTTTATTGGTTATTATAATATAAAAAATTTAACATTTCAATAGAATTTTCTGAAAGTGATCTACGTCTATCATCTAAAATTCTTTTATAATTAGAAAAACTACGTTCAACATCAACTCCTGAAATAGGTAACCATATATAAACTAATGCAATACTTGATAAATTTGGAAAAATTCTTTTTTTTTCTTGCCAATATTGATTTAAATTCAAATCACCCTCCTCAAAAATTTCTACCAAACCACAATAAATTGCCCATTCAGTTATAATAGAATTAGAAGGATTTTGAAATTCTGGAATTAGATTATAATTAGTTAAAATATGTCTATTTTGAGATGATTGAATAAATTGAGGGTTAAAACATTGAATTGCATTGAATAATGGTAAAGCAGAATGAGAATCTATATGTTTTTCAAATTTTTTCAATGCTAATTTAAAAGCTTCAGAAAAAATTGGATTAAGATATTCATAATTTTGATAATTCTGAGATAATAGTTGTGTCATTTCTACACTAATTGGTGGGTTATTTATTCCATTTCGCAAAAATGCTCTTGTTTGTTCAATTCTTAAAAAAACAAAAGGAGCAATAACCATATTTCTTATTTTAAAAAATTCAAGATCCAATACTAATCTAAAAAATATTAAAACTTTAATTTTTATATTTCATTAATAATAAAAATATTTTTAATATTTACCTTTATGCATTAAATAAAATAAATTTGATTAAAATATCTATATAAAAACTTTGACTTTGTTTTGAAATATCTCTTTTAATTCTTTAATAGTATTAGAATTTTTTTCTACAGATTCTTCAATAAAAAATGTAACTATATGTTGATAATAATTTTTCATCTAAATGAAAAATTTAAACCAAGAATTCCATCTAGTCTTGATATTTATTAATAAAATAATGATAATTATTAAACATTTAAAAAAATTTTTTATTAAATATCAAATAACTTTATATAAAAATACTAATAATCTAAAGAAATTAAAGCTTTTAATTTTTAGTATAAAATGAAAAATACCTTATAAAAATCACTTGCTACACCTAAAATGATTAATTATTTAAAATAATTTTAAATACATTATTATTGTTCTTCTATTCAATTAAATATTTGATCTTTTTATTAGGTAAATAATTAGATTCACAAATAATTGAAAACCTGTCCAAAACTGTCTTCACTTTATATTTTATAGACAATAGAATTTTTTTTACCATGCTGTATATATTTAATATTTAAGAAATATTTGCCTAATAATAGAATATTGTAACTTCTTTCATGTTATTTTCCATTAGCTTCATAATAAATTGTTTTAATAAAGAATCTATTGAATAGTTACAAATAAAAATAGGTTTGGTTAAAGTTTTTGATTGCTATCATTAAATTCAGTTTTGGGTTCTTAAAATATAAAATAAATTGTATAATTATCATAAAAATTCAAGATAATTCAAAATAATTTATAATCACATTAAGGTTTCGTCTATTATTAAAGTCATTTCCATCAAAATTTTGCAATTAATTAAAATAAAAAGTGCAGTATTTTTTATTTTTTATATAATGAAAATAAATTATTTATAGACTTAATATTTACTTTTTTAAGTATATTATATAATATATATATATAATATGATATAAATAAAAAATAAATACTATTTATTCACAATTTCTCTTCATAATTAAGACTTATTATAGGTCAAAAATTTGTAATTTCACTTTGCAATATATCAAATTAATTTTATATTAAGCATAAAATATTCTATTATATATATCTAAAACTAATTTCTAACTAATTTCTGCCTTGATAGATAATATGAAAGAGTTAAAATCTTCATATTCTGATTTACTGATTATGATTTTTATTTGTTATTTTATTACACAAATCACTATTATATCACATGCTTTAATTATTGAAATGCGCAGTATCAGCCTATATAAAGCTTTAGATGATGAAATTTTAGTTTTTCAAAAGGTAGAGCACTTAAATCATTTAATATAGCATGCCTTTTTAATTTAATAATAATAAGAGTCCTAACCTATAATATTATAATTATAATAATTAGTTATGCTTATAATGTAATATTGTAAAATTATATTTTTACCTCTAAATTATTTTCTAGTTCTTTATAAGTAAAATCATTAGTTATAATTGATAAAATTTGACATTTTTTATCTCTAGTTTTTTTATTATCTTTTAAAATTTGTTGAAAATAAGACTAATAAGTTTCTGTAGAACTTAAAGAATTATTGATAAGAAATCCCATTTAATAAAAAATAGTAAGTGTTTGTTTTCTTGTATTAGGTTTTGTGATTTAGTTCAAAATTGGTACTATTAAATTTGAAGTTATTTTTATTATTATATATCTGTGATTTTTCAATACTCAAATTTATTATACCTTAGAATCATCATGTATTTAAAGGATAATATTAGTATATTTAGTAGCATAAAGTATTAATGATCATGCATTTAGTTTATGAATAATAAATTGATATTCTAGTGGATATAATAATTTTAATTCTAAACTCAATTCTATTATATTATACTCACTTTATTTTCATCTAATAAACAAATTATACCAATTAATATTAGAAAAAGTTAAATGTTAAAGATGATATCTATACAATTAATTTATTAATTTAAAATCTCTCTATTTATAACAATACTGTATCATTCTGAAATTAAGCAACCCCCGAAAATAAGTAACTAAAGCTTTGAACAGTTCAGATTAATCTGAAAATTTTCAATTCAGATCAACTTCAGTTCAGTTTCAGATTGCAAAAATTTCAATCTGAAAATTTTCGATTCAGTTCAGATTTTTTTC